GAGGCGGTCTGGGCTGGCAGTTTGTCCTTGATATCTCCGTATAGGATGGGAGTAGTCGAGAACAGTACATGGGAGTTGACTGATGGAAAGGTGGTTGCTACAGCTTGACTCAGGTGCCTCCTTAGAAGTTCGCTTGGTCAGCCCCCCGTAGCGCTGATCACATATTTGACCCCAATTACTCCCTCCCCCGACCGATCCGGATAGTTTATTTAGTTAAGGACGATATAAATGCGCAGGCCTGACGTGACTTTATCGAATTAATAAATAAGAATCTAAAAATTAAGTATACTAATAGCACCGGTCCAATTAGACCAAATTCTGGGGCTATGGGTGTCTAAAGTGGTAGACCAACTTTATCGTTATCGGAAAAGCGCTTACTGAGGCCAGAGAGCGTACAGAAAACGCAACAAAGAGCTGCCGCTAGTTGTTTTGTAAGACTTAACAAAACCGAAATTCATTCACTCGAGCTTTGTTCAGCTGCGGCCGATTGGTGAAAAGATAAATATCGATTTGTGTCACAGTTTTGGTAATATTTGTTACACAGGAGTAAGCGGTGCCTGACATGTGAAGGCAGCAGGGTTCGGCATCAGTACTGAACATATGAACAGGCAGCTATGTGGCAAACATGTACATCGTACTATGGTGTTAAGAAATTAGCTAGCTAGGAACAGGATACCATATTATGTGCGTCTCGTTATTACAAATCTACCTAAACATGCAAATTTACTTCAAAGGTTATTGCGCAATATCTATGCATGTTTAGGCAGCTTGGGGTACACTCTTAAGTCAAATTGGCTTGATTACGGTGATCTACTTTACCCCGAGTTTGCTAGGAAGAATTTGCAAGTAGTATAGTGCAGAAGAGTAAACACATCAATGTGGCGTGTACCGGGGTTCACAGAGGGCATGCCCTCGCCTTCATCCAGGTTGGGCAGTCCGGAGAGGGTCTTGATGGCCTCATCGACGATATACTGATCTTCCAGCTTCAGTGGCCCTGCCATAGTCCAAATGAGACAGTGCATGAAGATGGCTTCAATCACCTCGGGCGTGTCAAAACCAATTTTCTCCGGCTTCATCTCAGTCAGCGTAGTGGCCGCACTCGGCGCCGGTGAAGGTGGCGGCTTCCCCCCGCCTCCGGTCTTTTCCCCATCCTCCGGCACTTCCTGCTGTGCCAGAACCTTCTTCAGCAACTCGGCCGAGGAGTCCCGCTGGGCTTGATTAACTATGCTGGCCAAGGTTGGCAGAGTGCCGGGAT